TGTCCATCTACCGGTCTGTCTGTCCATCTACCGGTCTGTCTGTCCATTTGTCTATCTACCTCTGTCTGTCTGTCCATCTACTGATCTGTCTGTCTGTCTGTGTGCATTCACTCAAGAATTGAGCAACATGCAAAGTATGAGATAGACTGGTTTAGACAGGTGTGTTTGTACAGCCCATCCCACTGTCAAAGACAGATTTGTGTACCTGGGTGTACCTGGGCGTACCTGGGCGTACCTGAGGCCTCAGCGGTGCAGTTTATGACCAAACTCTTTCTGTTGTCTTCGTTCAACAAGAAAACATGCTTTTAGTAAGAGAACAGATTTAAAGAGGGATCCCATCCGTCCACAGCTGTAACAGGAGCTGCACATTTGGAAGAGACGTGCACGTTGTTTAGTTTTGTGGCATGTATTTTACTGAAATGTTTATTATTGGGTGTTCCACAAGGAGCTGTGAGCTGGTGCTTTGTCCAGGAACAGTCCATTTAAAGATTAAAGTTGCTGATTCAGCTCAGACCTGCAGCAGGAACAGGTTAGAGCAGCTTTACAACAAGCGAGCAGGATTATAATGTGCCATAAGAAGTTATGTCACATTATAGTTGTATATCTCATTACATGTAAAACAGTTATTTCACATTCCAGCTACAACGTGATCACTTACATTTCATCTATTTATCACCTTTAGGGTGTGTTGTGTTGTTTACATTCACAATCTCCACTACAGCCTCTTGTGCTGTCTGAGTCATGTAACTTGCAGAATGTTTCCGTCTCATAAATAGACTGTAATTTGATGGTGTTATGCTTGTTTTTAAAGTAGCCAAAGCGTTCTTATCCTCCATTGGGCAGCTGGAACATACCCCCTTCCTCGGATTGGTTAAGGTGGAGGGGGTGGACTTTATGAGGAAGCTTCATGCTGAATTCTCTCATGAGACTCGTACGCACGCACGTGGAAGTGTTGCAAAATGTACTCTGGTTGAAATAAGCGCCGCACAAATGCATGTATGAACTAAATAAATCGTGCTCTGGTCCCTTTTTAATTATGTTTATCAAGAGTCTTTGGATCGAAATCAAGAACGCACTGAACAGGGCATGGAGCGTTCCCGTTTGTTTCTCGAGGCGTTTCTTGTCGTGGCACGAGTTGAACGGAGCCCTTTGATCTTAATGCTGTTGAAATGTAGATTAGCTGTAAAATAGTTGGTTTTTGAAATTTCATGTTCTTCTGGATCACAGGTGTCTAAAGTGTGGTCCGTGGGCCATTTGCGGCCCTTGGAGTGATTTTGTGCGGCCCACAGCTGCAGCTTGAGGATGGTGTCATTTTGTCCATCAGGCTTAAGAGGTCGTTGCAGAGTTTCTGCAAATTTGTTGGTAATCCTTTTTTATATAATATTTAGGTTTAACAGCAAAATAAATGAAAACCAGTCTTCTCAAAATGAGCAATATTAAACAAAATACAAACCTTTGGCTATAATCTTTTTTTATTTTCACTTCATGCTACAATTTACCAAAAGCCTTTACTGATTTCTACCAGAAAGGAGACTTTTGGATATTGATTCATAAAACGTGGCTAAATATTGAATAATCAAGAAGGAAACTGGACATTTTTAAATGAATACAACATGGTGTCATCCACATACGAGTTGATCAATTTTATCCAACCTTCTATGAGTCTGTTGTAGCGACTGACAGCTGGACGATTTTTCCAGAACTTCCATCAGCTTTTTGGGCCATCCATGGTCCAAAAGGCTGATGGACCCCCTTTTTAAAAGAATACTTACCATATTTTTCAGTTGCTGTTTTTTTTTTTTTTTCATATTTTGGCCAGTCCTGCGACTTATGTACTTTTTTTTTTTCCATATTCATGATGGAATTTTTGACCGATGCTTTAAATGTTCATTCATATTGACATGAACCAGAGTAAACATTACCAACTGCAGCCGCTAGAGGTGCGAGAGGGCCCTCTAGGCTTTAGACAACTACTGGTAGGCTTGCATATATGTTGTTCCTGTACGCTAAGTCCCCGCCACACTCCTGCCAAACATTCACTAAGCAAGTACAGATAAGACAACAGAGTAAAAACGTAACGGAAATAAAATGCCACCAAAAAGAAGATCATATTCTGCTGATTATAAACAGCAGGGCTGCTGACACAGTGGCTGAGTCCAGTTGGGCTTGGATGGATGCTGGCAGTCATCTTTCCGAACTTTTTTTGTTAACCTCTTTCAACCGGCTGCGCGCGGCTGGTGATCCAAATTGGATCGTCCGCTGACGCAATCAAAAGCCCGACACCAACCCAGCCCACCCGTCCAGCACGTTATTTTGGTCGGGCCCGGGTTAGAAATGACAGCTGTATTTCAAAATAAATGCGACTTATACTCCGAAGCGTCTAATATGTTTTTTTCCCTCTTCTTGATGCTTTTTTTGACTGATACGACTGATACTCCGGAGCGACTTATAGTCCGGAAAATATGGTACTCATGTTACACTTTTGTTGCTGAGAACAAACTAAAATGAGCTTTCCAAACACAAGAAAACAACAAACATACACCCAACAAATCAAATAAATGAAATCCTTTTAAAATAAAAAAAAAACGTAAGCTTAGTGTTTGAGGCTTTTAATGTTTTGGATCTGCAACAATTTAAGACCCTTTCTTCACCAAAATTAGTCAACTTTTGTCCTTTCTCTAAAATATTGTTCAAGTTGAGAGTTAAATTCACATTTGTCGCGCACGAGTCCTTTCATCTTGATAAGTTTAGGCGCACGTGAAAACATTTGGACACCCCTGTTTAACAAACTGATAAAGGAAGCAACAAAACGAGATGTTTCAAATATTACTGATGATGATGATTATTTTTTTATTTATTATTTTTTTAAAAGTTATATTGGTCTTGTTTGGTTCTAATGCTAATCTCATCTTGTATTTTTCAGTTCCTGTGTGTCTGAAGCAGAGAAAGAAAGTCCAGGTATGTTTCAGTTAAAATCCCTTCAGGTTTGTAGACGATTTACTGCCCTGATCGGGCAACATGCTTAATTTGAATAGGGAGCAGCTGTGGTGTCGGTGTCAGGATGAACTACGGGTTTTCTTTGCACAACCTGAATGAACCAAGTCTGTGGTGTTCCATGACCGGTCTTATTAGAGTCTCGCATGTCCTCGGCTGGACTGCGCTGGTTTCAACTGGATCCAGTGGGTCTGAAATGTGCACGTCACAGGATGAAGCTTGACGTGTGTGAAGGGTTGATGTTTAGGACATGATTAGGAGTGTCTCTAAATAAAAGTTGTTTTTAAACAAATTTTCTTGGTATCACTCCTACTGGTTGTATGAAGAGTACTGCTATAGTTCATAAGATATATATGGTTCATAAAAAATTTTTTTACAAGTTAAAACCTTCAAGCCAAAATGATGGATATAAGTACTGTTTTAAAATAGAGAAAACTGCCTTTTAAAGTTTTGATTTTCTCCTATCAAATGAGTTTTTCTATTTAAAATCTAATCAATAAAACGGTTAATAATCTCTAACCTGAGAGTCTTGAATTATTTATTCTTCAAGGAACAAAGTCTTTAAAAGAAAAGAAAAATAAGTTTTCCTTTTCACGCCAGAACAAGCTGCTTTAGTTTAATTTTTCTCTTCAGGCGCTGATCACCGTGAGAAGAAATACAAGGCCCATCGTCAGTTTGGGGACAGACGTGGGGGGGTCATCAGTGCTCGCACCTACTTCTACGCAGATGAGGCGAAATGTGACAACCAAATGGAGACGTTCATAAACTGCATTAAAGCCTCAGGTAAAGAGTTTGTCTAAGAAGCAGGTGATTTAATATTATTTATGCAGGAAGTACAATGAAATCACCGCTTAACAAAATAAAACGGTGACGAAGTTGACGAAAAGGTTTAGTCAACTGTGTCTTACTTCCTGTTTTTGAGAGGAGGTCCATTTATATTTACAATTCCTGCCTTAAGAAAATATAAATCAAGTTCTGACATGGCTGCATCAAATTTAAACTTTATTTATTGCAGGTGGAGCTTCCAGTGATGGATTTTCTGCCATAAAATTGACCGCACTTGGTCGCCCACAGTTTCTTGTAAGAATAACTTCTCATATCCAGCTGTCTACTTGCTAACATGAAATATTTGACATATTTTGGCAATTAAAAGAGTTAATCTGTTTATTAACGGATTCATACCGTCATGTGAAAGCTAGAGACATTTTGTTGTCCTGTGTTTGTGCAGCTCCAGTTTTCTGAGGTCCTGGTTAAATGGAGACAGTTCTTTCACTTCTTAGCAGCACTACAAGGAAAATCCGACATGACGGCTCTGGAAAAGAAGCTGGAACTGGAGCAGCTGAAGGTGTGTCAGTCCCATTCATGCTCGCACATGCTCACCAAAAACTGCAGTCTTCAACCCCCTTTCAGCTGATCCGAATATTTATTTGTGCTTTTTATCATTAATTTAGTGTTGCATATTCCTTATAAAGTAATTCTGAACTAAGTACCGGTAAATACTTATGTATAAATAAAGGTTGAATGAATGAATGAATTCACTGAATTTTGTCCTTGCAGGAAAGCTTGGCTCAGATGGGAGTTGGAGACAAAGACGACATTGAGAACTGGTTCACCGGAGAGAAGCTGGGTTTATCTGGGTAAGTTTGATGTGTATTTTATTACAACTTCAAGAAATTTTAGCAGCCTTTTGTTCCAATTTGCACAAATATTTATATATTTTTTGTTTTTGAACAAATCTAATCAGTTCTTTCTTTATTTTCAGAACGATCGACCTGTTGGACTGGAACAGCTTGATAAATGACACAACGAAGATTTCTAATCTGCTCATGGTGCCAAATCTTGAGGTGAGATTATTTTTAGTGAAATGGCTTAACTGGGAGGAGAAAATGTGAACAAATGGGCTGTTTAAACGATACTGACTGCAGCCTGTTGCTCCTCGCACCAAACTGGTATCGAGCCGTCTGTCCGGGCTTACGGTTCCCCGCGGATAGCCGAGCTGAGCAGCATGTCCCCCCCGCCCTCCCCCCAGCAGCTGACCTCCCCTTTCTTTGTTCGCCTGCGTCTTTTCTTGCGCCTCTGCAGATTTTGTAAATGGTGGCGCAACATGGCCGCCGTGTTTGGTGGCGCAACACGGCCGCCGCGTTGCGGGAGGAGCTCGGTTAGCCGCGCGCTGTTCGTGGGCGTTCCTCGCGGTGTTTTTGTGACGGCGGTTCTTCAGGAGAACCTCTGTCTGCACATCTTTTATCATCTGCAGCCAAAACTAGCAGCGCTGCAGCTCAGGGGCGCCTCCGCCGCCTGGGGGCGCTGTTGTCCTGCAGGAGGAAAATAAAAACAAGCGAGGTTCGTGTTTGGTCGGAGCCACCTCCCTCAGGGGGCCCCGATGATCACAGTTTAACCTTCCACACTGGATGTTATTGTTAATAAGTAAAAGGTTTTTTATGTTTTCAGCCTTGCAGCCACACAGAACCAGCACTTTAGGAGCCCCTAATGTTTTTTTCTCTAAACCAGAGTGAAGTCTTGAAGCGCCTCCCTTCAGTTGGTGTGGACACACCTCTGACCTCACCTACAGCCCTCAATGACAACAGATCACCTGCCTGTGTTGAAACACCACATGATGAACTGTAGGAAAACCGGTTTTACTTCAGTGACTCTAAAAGGCTGAAGAACTTATTGTCCTGTTGCATGCTTCATAATCCAGGTAGAACAATCAAACGGGGTTGGGTCAGATCCACTGGATGGATTCTTTAAGGTGTTTTGTCTTTTATCCAAGGGACTTCTTCAGCCTGAGGAGCTTCAACAAAAATGGCTTTCAAACCCCAAAATACATTACAGCAAAGACTGGTCCTTCCCAAAGATCCAGTCCTCCGGCACAAACAGAGTAATATTGTGTATGCTGTTCAGTGTCAGGAGGGTGATCGGTCATACATCGGGGAAACCAAACAGCCACTGGCTAAAAGGATGGACCAGCACAGAAGATCAACACTATCAGCCCAGGACTCTGCGGTCTACACTCATTTCCAGGCCAGCGGTCACTTGTTCAGGGATGAAGATGTTCACATCCTGGAGAGAGAGGAACGATGGTTTGAGAGAGGAGTAAAGGAGGCCATCTTTGTGAAAAGAACCTATCCAACATTAAACAGGGGCGGAGCCTCCATATTCAACTGCCCCCCTCTTACAGTGCTGTTATTGCTAGTATCACTCAGCCCCCTGCGAATAGCAAGCAGCCATCTGGGCACTAACAATCCATCGTTAGGCTGATGGTCCTCCTTAATCATGTGAAGAGTTTGTTCTGGCTGTCAGCAGCAAACTGGTTGATAAACTATGATGAGGTTCTCTTTTGTATGTATTGAAGGTGAGCTGCCCTCTTCTCTCACTGGAAGATCTACACAGTTCCCGCTGCACAGGAAAAGCCCACAACCCCTTAAAGGGCACGTCACCCTGGACACGATCTGTTGCCATCAGGGAAAAGGTGCAGATCAATCAAGACAAGAACAAGCAGATTTAAAAAGTTTTTATCCATCAGCCACTGAACTTAACACTGAACAAGTGCCATAAGGGACAACTTTGTGTAACATCAGTCTGCTTGTGTTGCACATTTGGAGTGTTTAAAATCTGCAATTATTACCTTTTAAATAAAGCCTTTAATTAGGGTTGGCTTGTTATGCTGCCTGCAGCTTAGACTACTAGACGACAAATTGACCTCATTTTCTTAAATGAATTGTTAAAATTGAATATGTTTCATTTGATATTATTTCTATATTAACATGTGATTCTTGACCTGCCATTGTGTATCTGTTCCTCTCAAACCCAACCAGCTGAAGCAGATGGCTGCTTGTCCTTAGTCTGGTTCTGCTAAAGGTTTCTTCCTCATGAGGAAGTTTTTCCTTTCCACTTTCGCCTTCATGCTCGCTCAAGATGAGAGTTCTGTGATGGAGTTAAATTCAAAGCAGTCTGCTCCTCAGATAAATAATGTTAATTGATTATTTTTATATATGAATGTTTCTGTTCAGTGCCCTGAGACGACTTCTGTTGTGTCTTGGCGCTATGTAAATCAATTGAATTGAATTGAATTTACTGTGTAACACAGGAATAGCCTTAAACCTAGAAAAGTTCATATTTTTGCCACAGACATAGTATGACAATGTTGTAGAGCTGTTGACCCTCTAAACATATCTGTAGGTGCGCAATAAACAGACCGTATCAGCCATCAAACAGTAAAAGCAGATGTTAGCAGCAGCATAGAAATCACTTCCACTCCGCGATCGACTTCATCTAATTGTGGGAACAAGTTGGAACTGAACTGATGCCAGAATTGTATCCAATTACCTGAAGGTAATTTCTGAATGTCCTGGCTGCTAACGCTGGAACAGTTTGTTACCTCAGAGAATCCAAAACATGACATTCTTTCAGATGAAACACCATCTGGATTGGCTTTTAGTTGCTCTTTTTTTGCAGAAACTTGAAACTGGTGTTGAAAAAGGCACCAGTTTGTTGGCGTTCTGTTCCCACCAGGCTTTCTCCTGCTTCCTGCCATGTGCTGTTTCATGGGTTAATGTGTTTCATTTGTGTTTAACTGTGTAGACAGGTCAGCTGGAGCCTTTGCAGAGTATATTTACAGCTGAGGAGGAGAGCCAGATGAAGAGAATGCTGCAGAGAGTGGACATTCTGGCAAAGGTGAGGTCACAAAACAGTTTTATGTGGATTCATAAAATATTTATTCGGCATACAGTACATGTATACAGAAATCTAAACTCATGGTTAGTTGTCACCTAGTGGAAAAAAAAGTTATAGTGCTCCTATGTCATGATTTTTTGTTAGCATCAAGTCATTAGGATGAGAAATCATGCTATATGTAGTATGAATGCTGCAAAAATAAACAGTGAATGGAGAGTTGGCTGTTTTTCTTTTTATGTAAAAAAGCAGAGATGCTTTAAGTAGATTTGTTAAAACAAACACTGAAATATTTTTGGTGCCTCAGCATGCAGTGGAGAATGGTGTGAGGCTAATGGTTGATGCTGAGCAGACGTATTTCCAACCGGCCATCAGCCGATTGACCCTGGAGATGCAGAGGAAGTTCAACAAGGAGAAGCCGGTGATTTTCAACACTTACCAGTGTTACCTTAAGGTGAGAGGTCAGATTAGCTTATTATGAACATGGATTGTGTTTCTGATGAGTGATGATGTTTCTGATGCTTCATGTTTGTCTCCAGAGGTAAAAAAAAAAAATATATATATTTTTTTTTAATTAGCATTGGGTTTAATTTTAAATTGCATATTTCTGACTTGTCTCAAAGTTGAAAACATACCGTAGTAGTTAAGAGGTTTTAGGAAACTACTTGTCACATTATCCATCCATCCATCCATCCATCCATCCATCCATCCATCCACACAATTAGAAATAAACAACCATTCACTCTTTCACTCACACCTAGGGACTATTTTTAGAGTTTCTAACATGCATGTTTTTGGCCTGTGGAAACCGGAGTACCCGGAGCAAACCCACACATGCACGGAGAGAACATGCAAACTCCACCCTAAAAAGGCCCCAGGCTGGGAGGTGATCTTGCAACCTGAGAGGCGACAGCTCTAAACCACCGCTTCACCGTGCTGCCCTCTAGTTCAAGATAATGGTCAATTCAAATGAGGCAATTATGCTTCTCATTAAATAGGATACTTTTATTATTAATTAAAACCTAACCTCTTATCAAAAATTATGTTTTAGGTTAGCTGGCAGATTTTGTGGTAAAGTGTCAGTTTTTTTTTATTTTTATTTTTTATACATATATATATATATATATATATATACACATTTTTGCCATTGATGTTGTTTAGGAAGCCTATGACAACCTGACTCTGGATGTTGAGCTCTCACGACGGGAAGGCTGGTACTTTGGAGCCAAACTCGTCCGAGGAGCTTACATGTACCAGGAGAGAGCCAGGGCAAAGGAGATAGGCTACGAAGACCCGATAAACCCAGACTATGAAGCAACTAACAGGATGTATCACAAGTAAGCCTTGGGTTTTTGTCCAGAACCTTTTGTTTGACAACTGGGAGACCATTTAAATCCCAACCCTCTGCCTTCTGTTGCTCGTTCAGATGTTTGGAGTATGTGCTGGAGGAGATCGAACACAACAGGAAAGCAAATATTATGGTTGCAACTCACAATGAGGACACGGTGAAGTTCACCCTTGAAAAGTAAGTTTTGCCTCAGTCCTGAAAATAAATTACAGACTTGGGTAAATGTTATCAAATGCAGATTTTGTTCTTATTCATAAAGGATTAAATCCTGTAGTTGTAGTAAACACATGATGTGGAGCAAGGTTTTTCTTCTTTAGTCCAGATTGAGGTTGTGACATCAGTAGTAAAATACTACACTCATTTCATTGTGCAACAGCTTTTAATGCTTGTTTTTCCCTTTTTTTTTTTTCCCCAGAATGAACGAAATGGACCTTTCCCCCATGGAGAATAAAGTTTACTTTGGACAGCTGCTCGGCATGTGTGACCAGATCAGCTTCCCGCTAGGTAAGTTGCACTAAAAACAAACGGTACATTACGAAATCACGCCGTTCTTAACGTCACAAACTCGGATGACCGACGCAGCTCCGCTGAAACACGAACTGTGCCGCGGTCAGTTTTTCTGCACTCAGGCGGTCACTGACCTGAGAATTAGCTTGTTCAGTTTGTGGATGTGTTGAGAGCAAACAGGTTCTCGGTGTCCTTTAACAGATCGCGATCAAACTGTACATCACGTTAGCTCGGGACCGAAAGTACGAAGTTGGTCTGAGCAAATCTCAGGTTCACTCGTGATGGTTGACAGTGTCCTTGTTGTGCAAAACAACCAACAACTGCTGCATTCTGACATTTTCTTCTCTAAAACTTTGTCACTTTTTCAGACATTTATAAAGTTGTTTGGTGCAGGAGGTCAGTTCCATTTTAAATGAAAAGATTAAATCAGGAAATCCTAAACTCAAAACTCAGTCTTTGTGTTGACTCATAACAAACAGATTAACAAAGAACCAGTTTTAAAATGGACCTGTAGGCACTTTGTTACCTGCAGCTTGTCACAAAGAAACAATTTGTTCTAATTTCTTTAGCTGAATCTTTTCACACCAGAACTGCTGACCTTGCATTACCCCATAACACCACCAGAGGGAGCCATTTTCATTTCCATCCATGGATTTAAATTCATTCAACCACCTAAATTTAAATTTATGATGGTTAATATGTTCGAGGACTTATTTACAAGAGAGACCTGTTAATAATAATATATGTTTAGCTGGATAAGATGGATAAGACAACAAGAGGGCATGGTATTCTCTGTCCCATCCACTGCTTTAATCTGTGATGCCATGGAGGAGCAAAGATGGCCACCAAAGAAGGCAACAGCTCACAGCTGACAAAACTATTTGATTAACAGCAAGCCCAACTGGATCTGTGCCACAAATTATTTTTAATCCATAATTAATGTTGATTTCATTCAACAATCATGTAAACGGTTGATATGTAAGGGTATTGTTTAAGTAATCATGATATAAAGTAGATCTGAAGTCAGTCACATAAACACACGCACAACTCGAACTACGTATAAAGTGTATTGTATAACAGTATCAGAAAGAAGTATATTTATTATTGTTTACTTGTTACTTGGAAAGTGTTCACTGAGTACCAGGTGATTCTTCGTAGGATGAGACTTGTCTTTATTGATATTGTTTAACCATCTTCTCCTGACCTAGAATAGTCAAATATATAATAATATTTTACACTTCTTAAAGATGACATAAATCGGAGGCAATGCCAGATTGTACTATTTAATAATTTGCGCTAAATTGTATAATAATTTAAATGCAGACAACTTTGTTTATCCCCAAAGGGCAAATCAGTTTGAGTTTCCAGATTCCCACCCTTCCACACATACATATGTTCATATATTATTTCAGCACGGTGCTACACTGTCGAACAATATCTGCTATGAGCCAATTCAATAATGAAGAGCGATTACATCGGCTTTATAGGCTAATTTTCATTTTAAACGGTTACATTATTAGCTTCAGTTATGGTCAGATCACTATTTGCATTGAGGAAAATAAGATCAAATCTGCTTACTTGTGAAATGAGACATGTTTTACTTTTTCTCTTTGGTTGGTACAGCCGTAGCACACACAGCTTTGTGGCATTTTTACATTCTTTTAATATACATTATATAGCTTATATACGTACATTCTAATATTATAGTAATATCATCATGAATTTTTTTTTTTTACATAATCAGCATAGGTCTGTCACAATAAACAATAAAATAAATTAATCGCATAATACATGAAAATTATCAACCTCATTTTCATTTATCGGCTTTATCGTTTCTTCGTGTCTCTATCTTTCTACTGAAGACACTGGATGACTAAAAGCTCAACTCCAGTGCTCTTCACTGACCCCTCCCTTTCTCTTTAAAATCAGTTTTAACCGTTCAAAATCGTGTTTTTGGATCATTAAAAGCAGCTAACCTGAGAAGCTAAGCTAACAGACTGACCTCGAGGAAAAAAACCTCCGTCTTGCTTCAAAATTCACGGTTGAAACCCGTGCCTTTGTGTAAAAAATGGTTTTTCTCTGCAAAAAGAAGCTGAGAACTTCTTTACTGTTTTTATTTATTTATTATTATTAAAAGTTTTGTGTGAAAAATGCTATGCTAAAGAGCGCAAACCACACCGAGCGTCCACCATTTTGAGAACCGAAAAAATGAACAAGAGACAGTCCATGTCACGTCAAGGGGCCTCCCTCCCAATTTTCTTAGAGACCCGTTGCTCACTCCCTCACTATCCATCCTTCAGTTCAAACAGTCTTGTACTGCCATCCAGTGGTCACAAAAAGGTACTGCACTCAAAACTAATTAACCAACATTTCTTCAATTTGACAATAATTACTAATTATTGTCAAATTTTCAAACAATATTATCGTTATCGCAATAATTTCTGAGACAATTAATCGCCCAGCAAAATTTGTTCTCGTGACGGGCCTAAATCAGCATTTACTGTTCGCCGTTTTGACAATATATAGAACAATGTTGGGTCCAGACGCTTGCCCTCTCTGGTTATGGATCCCGTCCCTCCAGTGAATCACGTCACGTGACCACCGCACCCTCTACTTGTCTTATTGTTTAATGCTATGCTCCCAGCTTATTCACCTTCAACTGTGATTAAAAACTTTTTTTGAGTGGTTTAAACAGTCTTGAACTATGAAACGTATTATGGTTAATTAAAAAAGTTACACCAGTTTAAAAATGAAAAAGAGGTCAAATTGACCCCTTTAGTGTTTCTAGTGTCAAAAATAACTGGCAGTAGTCGGACATACAAAAACTGTATTTTAGCACCAACAAGGCGATTCACAGAGCATTTAGCTGAAAGCTGTTCGTACAATCATTATTCAGCTGAAAGAAGAAGCTTCCCTCACTTTTTACTTAGTCCTTTACTTTTTAATGTTCCTTTTATTTCTAAAACACTCCACAATATTATATATGAATGTATTGTTGTGTATTTTTTCCTTTATTTAATTTTAACAGTTTCAAATAAACTGATGAAACAAACGATATTTCTGAATATTTATTCTATTTTCACTGTTCTTCATTTTACGATTAGTGTAAAAAACCTGTTTGTTAGAGGTCAGTCAGCCTCTATAACAGTCAGTGTTTAGTAAATTTACCCCCAAGTTAATTACTTCTGAACGTGTTTCAATGTACAATAATATTCTTTTAAGTTCTGTTCACACGGTGTTTCCTGTCATGCACGCCACGGAGATAAAATCTGTATTTACGATGACGACGGTGAGGTGGTTTGAAACTTCTTTGTCCGTCTTTGTGTTTGGAACAGGTCAGGCAGGTTTTCCAGTTTACAAGTACGTTCCCTACGGTCCCGTCAATGAAGTCATCCCCTATCTGTCTCGACGTGCGCTGGAAAACCGAGGCTTCATGAAAGGATCTCGGAGGGAGCGCAGCCTGCTGTGGAAGGAGCTGCGGCGCAGGCTTGTGGGCGGTCAGATTTTCTACAAACCCGTTTACTGATCAGCCAAACGTCACAACATACTGACTACACGTTTGTAATCATTCCACTTGGCTCAGCGTGCTGCTAGTTCCTTTTTGTTGTGGAGGGATAAAGACTTTCTTTAGAGCTGCATTGAATCATATTTCACTTTGAAGTGTTTCTGCATTATTTGTCTGTTCAAAGAGATTGTTTTGCCTTTAGAAATTGATGGGTTAAAGCACTGTTATAATGGAAAGCAGCATAAAGTGGCTCCATTCTGTCCAAATCATCAGTCTGTTTAGTTTTGGATTGAACTTTGTAATCCCTATATCCAAAACAAAACATGAGACTGAACTCTACTTATCCCTGATCAGTTTTGCAAAATGCACAAAAAGTTTATTTCTTTGAGGAACACGAAAAGGCTTTTTATGCCTCTATTTTCTATTAAAGTGTTTTGTGTATGTAATGGTCTTACTTGTACTTAAAAAATGTAATGTTCTTTTGAAATGAAATACTTTTTTGTTATGGATGCACGATATTGGATTTTTGGCCGATATGTTAAAACTTATTTGGCCGATGACCGATACTGATATTTTTCCCCCTAGACTTATTTACAGAGACTAGTTTTTAGACACAGCTTTCTCTGCTGTGGTATTAAAATCTGGTACTATATTATTCTGCATGGTTTTATGTCAATTTGGCCTACTACCAAATGCAGATGCCAAAAGGGGGCTGAAAATGATGCAACACTTCAACTTGGATTATGTTTAAAGTCTATATATTATTGTAAAATATTTAACTTTATCGCTAATATCGTCCGATACCGTGCCGATAACGTGCATCCCTACTTTTTGTGTTCATCTGTCTCAAGTAGTCATTTCAAAGTGCCTTATATTTTAAAACCAGCTTATCAGGAAGCAATTAAACCTTTAAAACCTGGTTTTTATTACCGTAGACCACTCCACGAGGCTTTAAGCTTGTTGAATTTGTATGTTTATTGTAGATTTTAAGAGTGACTGTTATGTGTTGTTTGATAAAAAGAACAGTTCTGCGATTTAAATTTTTTCTTTAAACACTTTCATTTAGACATCTAGTAGATTTAAACTTATCGTTTGTGTGTTTTGACAACAAAAAGTTAAAAGAGCGACTCGGTGTGATTTGTCACTGTTCGCATGCTTAAATGACTTCTTCCAGGTGCTCCCACCTTTTAAATTTCTGTGAAGTGTTCAACCAGTCCCGGCTGTCGAACAAAACGGCAGTTCAAGGAATTGAACTGGGAACTATAAAGCACCCTATTGTTCTGAAGGTAACGTGAAACAACTGCAGCCGTTTTCTTGGAACAAGAATGCCGACTTTCATAAGCTGCACGTGAAATGGAGACGGCGTTTGGAGATGTTTTTATTGATTTTTATTTTACAAAGAATAGTTACCAGATTATTTCAAGCGCTCTATATTCAGGTGTCATGTCCTCTGGTTGTGACAGACTGAAGAAGTCCCATGTTTTTGAGTTATTTAGAAGTTGTAGTGTTTAAAAAAAAAAGTACATTTAATGCTATAATTGTATAACTATATTTAAAGATTTTTTTTGGTACTATAAAAAAAGACCTTTATTAATGTAGTATTAAAATGAGATTTATTTTTTTAAAAAGTAAGTTTTGATGAACTGTGTGCTTTGTTGTTCATTTTGCACATGTATGAGAATGCAGGTATGATTGACTCAATAAAATATAATTGTAATGAATAAACCAACATTGTTCATTAAGTCGTGATGCAAGTCCAGCCTCTTGATGCTTTCTGCATTTGACACATGCACCGTATTTTTTGCCCTATAAGTCACCTTTTTTTTTGCATAATTTGCATGCCCTACGCTGAAGCGACATATTTATGGATTTTTTCCCATATTTATAAATTAATTTTTGGCTGAGATATGACCGTTTTCATTCATTCTGACTGAAAATATTGAACACTACCATTTTCAGCCGCTAGATGGCACTTGAGTGGTATGGCATGCCGTTGTATCATGTAATCGGTAAAAGTGACTATTAATGACACAGTCTGCTTGCCATAGCGTGACACTGTCTGCCTGGAGCAACCTTGAAATTAGCTTAATTTCGCTGCAACGCCCCAGTGAAATGCAGTTGATTTGACCATTGAAGTGCATTTATTAAGCAAAAGTTCAACGCCCAATCAATTTTTGGCACACCGGCCCACGTTTCTGGGTTGTCAGCGGTGACGCGTAACAAACGTGACGCGTCAGTGGTGACGCATAATAGATGCAACGTATGCGCGAAGTGACGTATTTATAGATTTTTCCACTTTAGACATATTTGGACTGATGCGACTTATAGGACGGTGCGACGTGTACTGCGGAAAATACGGTAATCTTGTTCCTATCTTGAAGCGAAACGGACCTTCTGATGGTTCCCTGATGAACCCAGGACCGTGATGAGTCTACGTTGTCACGCTGGGCCTGACTTCCTCTTTCAGACGGCTGAAAGATGCTAACAAAATGTCACACATCTTCAGTCTACGGCTGAAAGCTGAGGCAGCACCTGCAGATCGGGTGTCTGCGGTGCCAAGAGCACAACACAGTGAACTTTGTTGTAACTCAAGTATGCATGTCAGGTTTCTACGTTCTCCAGTTGATTTTGGATAACACGTTAGTGCAAAACTCACAAATTCTATCAAATACCGTGAAGAATTTTAACGTTAAAGTTCTGTTTTTTAACGTTTTTCTGCGATCACTATAGCCAAACTTGCACATAAAATGGAAAATATAAATATGCACCCACTAATTATTTTTTAAATACTGATTTCTTATAGGAAAAAAGGTGTAAATCACTTAAAATACCATCAGATGTTTGTAAATTATTGACATGGATTATTATAAACGATAAAAAAAAGAGTGCAATAAATTATTAAAGCTTAATTTTAGTTGAATTAAGGTGCTACTTCATATGTGTATTTTTGATTGACATGGTTTTTACCCATCTCTACGATGTCAAATCATAAATAATAATAAAATAATTGCTACAAACGTGCAGATGTGTGTTGTTTACCAACTTCATATGAGTCAACATCAGCCCCAGTGGGAGGAGAAACAGCCGTCCAGTCCCCGACATCCAATAAGATGTCACTTCAAGGAATGTGTGCAGCCTCCTGGAAGAGGTTTCACTTGAAACAAGTACAGTTATCAGACTGTCACAACTACTGCTACAATCTCCAGGTAAGTCATACTTTATGCTCCATTTGCTCTGAACTGTCATCTTACCTCTGACTCAGCTTTTTAGACGGTTTCTGTAAGTGTGGGCCTTCACTAAATACAACTGTTTATTGAACTTACTTTACTGTGTGAGACTCAAAGATAATATAAAAGTAATGTTTGTATTAAATGTAACATTTGTAAAAGTGACAAAGATAAGTCAGAGCAGCAACGCCCTCTCACACGACGAACACCTGCTGCTTGAAATGACCATTTTATCAAATGGAAACTTGATCACTGTACACATGTTTTTAGTGTCAACACAGAAAGCATGAGGGCTGTTTGCTGGATGTTTCCTTTTGTCCTTCGTCTCCCCTCCTTCGATGGAGACATTTTGGTCACAGACTTCACTTTACCTTCTTTTTGTACAAGCTATGTGGAACTATCAAAGGCAAGCTGTGTGCCAACATTTATAATTATTATTTCTCGTTTCCCTCCGTAGGTGTTATTTCTACTTCCATCCTCCAGCTCCTGTTTGTCTTTTAATAATGTCTTGGATGAAAGGATTTAAACATTTAGGTGCGATTCGAGTGTTGTTACCCTGGGTTTTAATGACCAACGTCATGCTGGTCCTGTACAACTTGTCAAACTCAAACCAAGTGACTGTCAGGTAAATAAAAAGAGCACGAAACAATATTTCTTTAATTGGTCTGTATATTTTACAGTGTAATTTGTTCACAGGATCTCCCAAGAAGAAACATGTCCTCTCAGTGTTGCAAAATCGTTGCAGAACAGTTTAACAACGGGCTTTCCGAACTCTAAATCTGAGGCGTGCTCCCCCAAGGTGAACATCATGTTCATGAAGACCCATAAGACTGCGAGCAGCACCATCCTCAACATCCTCTTCAGATTCGGGGAAAAGCACAATCTTAGATTTGCCTTCCCCGACGGGCGCAATGACTTCTTCTACCCATCGCCGTTCCTGTGCTCCCAGGTGAAGGACTACAGGCCGGGGGAGTGTTTCAACATCGCGTGCAACCACATGCGCTTCAACCAGGAAGAAGTGGCCAAACTCCTGCCTCCAGACGCCGTGTACATCACCATCCTACGTGACCCGGTGGACCTCTTTGAGTCGGCCTTCCATTATTACCACAGGGCGGTTCCCCTCACGTGGGGCATCGAAGGGGACGACAAGCTGACAGAGTTTCTGAACAATCCACTGGCTTTTTACAAGCCAGAAGCTTTTAACTCATTCTACCTAAAGAATCTGCTGTTTTTTGACTTCGGTTTTGACAACAACCTGGAAACCAACAGTTCTCAGATCAAGAAAGGCATCCAGTACTTATCCAGTCACTTTCATCTGGTCCTCATAGCAGAATATTTTGAGGAGTCTTTGATTCTTCTCAAGGATTTACTTTGTTGGAGCATGGAGGACATCCTGTATTTCAAGCTCAATGTTCGCAAGAGCTCATTTGTGTCCCGGCTGGACCCCGAGATGAGGGCCCAAGCTCTGCAGTGGAACTGGGCCGACTGGGAACTCTATCAGCACTTTAACGCTACCTTCTGGGCCAAAGTGGAGGCTTACGGCAGAGAAAGGATGGAACAGGATGTCAAAGAGCTAAGGAGGAGAAATGCTGAGATGAAGGCCATCTGCATCCAGGGTAAAGATGCAGTCGAGGCCCAAAACATTCAGAACTCTCGTTTCCTGCCTTGGCAGCCGATAGGAGAGAAATCCATCCTGGGATACAACTTGAGACAAGACATTGATCCCAAGTTCAGGATGGTTTGTGAAAAAATGCTCACACCAGAAATACAATACTTATCGGACTTGGGAGTGAGCCTCTGGATTACCAGACTGTGGGGTTGGTTAAAGGATCAAATTTACTGATTAAGTTATTTTTTTATCATTTAATTTAACTTTGATGTATTGTGTATTAGATAAAAAATATAATTTTTCATCTAAACTCATTTTTTCATCAAACCAAATGTTGAACTAAAGGTGCTTCGATGATGTTCTCATAAGAAGATAGTGAAAAATCCTCTCGGTGTCATTCAGGGACGATAATGGAAACAGAAAACATCATCATAGAGTATCTGCAAGTGGAAAATGTAAGGTATTACATTTGAAAACTATTACTCAGTCCTTTAAAAGATGATGTGTTTTCAGGTGGATTCACGTTGTACTTTCTGACGTTTGACACAGTTTACAGCACGTAAAAAAAGGGGTTTAAGCAAACACAGCCTCTCTGGCACAATTTTGTATTTACATTTTGGTCCTCTAAAAGTTGTGACGTTCGTGGACGATCCAAATCTTTTGAGCAGCTCTTTACAACGAATGATGGAAACGATTCACAGACAACTGAGAGCCATTCTTTTTTTATTTTTATTTTTTATGTTGTGATTTGTTTGTGTTTTCCTCTGCAGATACAGACACACAGGCTTCTCAGAGTCAGAGAGGTTTTATTGTCATTTCAGCTACGTACAAGTACATATTGAAATGAAACAGCGTTACACCAGGATCATGATGCAACACAAAACATAACGTGCAAACAAATGCAACACAGAACACTTTGGTGCTCTTGACAATCTCCACAGAGGACCCATTAATGTTCCATGGGGAGTGGTTCTTTGGTGTTTTCCTAAAGTTGATGAACATCTCTTTGGTTTTGTCAGCATCGTCACAGAGGCAGATTGTTGACTTTACATCAGCCAGTTAGTTGTTGCAGCTCCTCTCTGTACGCTGACTCGTCATTTTTTGCTCATAAGTTCCAACACAGTTGTGTCATCTGCAAACGTCACAAAGGACTTCGAGCTGTGCATTGATGTACAGTCATGAGTAAGCAGAGTAAATGGCAGTGGGCTGAGCACACAGCCCTGGGGAGCTCCGCTGCTTCCTTTACACTGAGAAGAAGAACAAGCAAAGGGGAGCAGCAGCTGTTGTTGTGTATAGGAAATGTGTGTGCGTGTGTGTGTGTGTGTGTGGGGGGGGGGGGGGGTGCTTGCAAAACCATGTGATGCGGCCCTTAGATTGTATGTCACTGTATAGTATGTGTATGATGTGTGTGTGTATTGATGTCACTACTGTTCAAATTTGAACAGCTTTTTGAAACCAATGGATCTTCAAGACCCAGTTCCCTTCAGAGATGTATATCCCATCTCTACAGCGCACAAACTCTTAAGAATTTTTTTTGTTTTAGTACAGATATTTTAAATGATCTCCAGCATGAGCAGTCAGTGATGATTTGAAATGATGACATAATTATCAAGTTTGCCCACCCCCTGACTTTTTCATAAAATATGACCAGTTATTTAAGTAATGCAGACTTTGACTGACTCCATGAAGATATAATGGTATCTGTACACCCTGATAAACTAGTCTTCCATCTATTCTTACAAATCTGCTGGTATCTGTTTTCTCAAATCTCTCATTGTGAAACTCCCGCTATGTCAACAGTCATATCTTCTCACAATGCACACAATGCGTATTGCAGTCTGTTTTTTTGTATCCTAATCAAGCCCCTTGCATGTAACTCCTTTGGTCGCTTCTTGTTGCAGTTGTGTGCTGCAGATGACTGGAATCATCTGCAAGAAACCTTCAAGTTTGGCTCATTCATTCCCTTTCTTATTAATATGCACGCACTTGTACAAAGATGAGCACACTTGCCTTTAGCCACCTGTTTTACGGTGCTTGTTAGAGTTTTTTATTGTTCCCACTGCTCCACAGAATTTGATGGAATATGCTGTAAAAAATTGTTTTCATGCTTTTATTGTAACTGTTTTATATAAACGTGTAATCATTGTAAATAACTGGTTCACATTTGACCTACCTGGTAAAATAAAGGTGCATGACTGGACTAGTATTTTAAACTGTATTGAGTGAAATATGTTAGTTCATAATGTGTAAGTAGCTCTCAAGTGTTTGTTTTTAGCATCGTATTAGACATGATTTGAGATTCTGGCAGCTTTGTGGAGGCCAAAGGAATGTAAAGAAAGGCAGGATCTGGCCCACAGGTCATTTGTTAAATAGGTCTGCTGTGTCGGCTGACTTTATAAGTGATGCATCAAATTAATAACAGCGATATATTTACTTATTAGTAAATCAATACAATTTGCAGAATGGCTTACCATGAGGGATGACAGCCTGATGATTTTGACTAAAAAGCTTTTCATAGGTTGGCTGAGATTTTGAATACTACTACTACCACCACTACAACTACAACTACTACAATAATAATATTACTACAACTACTACTATAATAATAATAATAATAAAACTACTACTATAATAATAATACTAAGAATAAGAAGAACTGTGTGAAATACTCGCACTAATTAAAACATTTTGTTTTTGTCTCCTATTATTTCACTTCCTTGATCAATGAGCTCTGAGGACCTGGCCTGTGACGTTGTTATCCGGTTGGTAAATTTCTGAAGTTTGAAATACAAACACCTGCTGACATTTACATTCTTGTTCAGCTTTTTCCACATGGAAAGGAACCTTGCAGACAAACAGGACTACAGCTGCTGACATATAACAGTGACTAATTTATTGGACTTAAAGAGACCCAAAACAAACTGGAATTTTACATAAATTTATTTTGTTTAATCAGAAACTTTTAGTAATAATAATAATCATAATAAAACTTATTTGAAGGCAACTTTCATGGCACTCTGGGACACCATGCAATGAAAAACAATATAAAATGCAGTTAAAAACAAAAGGGGGAGTGGTGGTGCAGAGATTAGAGAAGGTAAACCTGTGATCAGAAAGTTGTTGGTTCGATTCCCTGGACTGATATCAAAATGTGGGTGGGAAAGGTGAAACACCCAGATGTGCTGCCACCCTCATTTGCCCCACTCTGGGTCCTTGAGCAAGGCCCTTAACCTCCACCATCTGCTCCCCTGAAATACCAATAAGTGAAAGACTGTCAATGAGGATGGTGTCAAAGGTCAAGGCAAATCAAGGAGGATGATAAAGAGGATTCTAGACTCAGCAGCTGTGAGGTCATTACGGATTTTGGTAAGAGCTGTTTTTGGTAATGAGAAGTGGGCGGAAGCCAGATTGAAGATTATTCTTGGAGGATTGGGATCTATAAGCAACCGGTTCATCTAGAATTTTTGGAAGATATGGGAGATTAGATATGGTTAGAAGGTTACTAAAGTCACTGGGGTATGATTTTTTTTTTTTTTGAGGATGGGGTTTTAAGAAATGATAGGACAATACCAGAGGTGAGAGAAGAATTAGCATTTTATATTATTAATGGGGTAAGGGAGAGAACAGAGGCTTTAACAAGAGTACTGTAGTTGGAAGGGGACCAAGCCAACAGGTGGATGACTTCGATTTTTGAAACAGGTAGTATATTTCAGCGTGTCAAGCCCTAGTGGGAATAGTGTTCTGTTTGATGGATAAATAAGTGTATTCATGTCAACTGTAGTTGATATTTGTGTAATATTGTGATTTGGCAGAGTAGTCGTTCTTGTAATGGAGATTATGAATCCTGTTCTCTTGAAGAGGCATTCAAGCTGTCATCCTTTGACCTTCAAATAGCAAGGCTCAGGTGTAAACCAGGTTACAGAGTAGGTGAAGGAGACAAGTCTATGTTTTGAATGGGGCCACGGTGTTGCAGAAGTTATTTTTACTGTGCAATACTAGATTAGGAGACAAGTTGTTTATGCTGGGGAGGTTTGCAATACCAGTATGAGTCCATTATATTTCTAAGATATGACACGCGTTGGTTTAGCTTTACATAATGCGTTACATTAAGAGAGGAGCATAGGATCAGAGGCAGCTCAGTTGCAGAACAGTTTTGATGAGCGATACCAGAATAGCTGAGGTCCAAAACCTGTCCTTTGGAATGGGTGGGCAAATCATTGAACTGCTGAAAACCCAAACAAAATAAGAAATCCTTAAGTAATGGGTTATTAGTTGTCAATATGTATGTTAGTCATCAAGCAGAATTATGTTGGGAGTACCGGGATGTTGGTGAGGAGGGTAGTGAACTCACATAAATTCAGTATTTGACTTTTGTTATTATTTACCAATATTTATTAAGTTGTGTGTAATAATTGTAGCAAATAAAAAAAAAGCTTTGAATGATGCATGTTGCATATATAAGCTGTATATTAACATGATCAGTCATAATAAAAAAGCAAGATTCGTGCGACATGATGCATGTTTAATACAACAACTGACAATCTGTGAGGGAATTACAAATATCAACAAAGAGGAAGGACAAAGACAGAAAGCGTTGCTCCATCTACGTCGTGGGTCTGGTGTCACCTTCCACAGATCGTCTGAAAGCTGCTTCCAGCCCGGGTATGACTTGGTGCACACTGTCCATGTTGTTAGCTGCTTGATGGTTTACAAGACGAATCCAGGAAGAAAATGGACCCTGACAACATTCGCACCGCCAGCCTTATCCAGGTTCTTATTATTCATCTTTCTGCGTGTAGTTGTGCTTGATGTGCTTCCAAAGCTTCTGCAATAGATCGAACATGAAGTCATATTAGACATGTCATTCAACAAACGAACAGAGTATCAACAAGTGGATTATTCTGAACGCTTTGTGGGCAAGTTAGCAAAGCTAAGCTAACATTACGATTTGCCCTTTGCTAACAAGGTCAGGGTGGATAAAACATGAAGGAAACCACTTACCCCGCGATTTAAATATTCAAAAAGCTCGTCGCCTCCTTGGTCAAAGACTCGCTCAAACACTATAGCTGAAACCACGACGGTCACAGCAAAAGTGGACGTCCTCTTCAAGAAAGAATTGTAGATACTGTTTAACAGCGCCATGTCATCGGTGTGACGTTCACTGCGCATGAACGGAAGTTGACAAAGCCAACATCCGCTTTGGCGATCAGAAAATGCGGAAGCTCGATGACCGAAAACAAAAAGTAATTTTATGTTGTTTTGAACTTCAGAGCAGATATCAGAGAGGAAGACTGCAGTTACGTCTGTGTTAAACCTAATTCACCCAAGGACCATCATATAATGTTTGTTATAACAGTAAGCATGTTTTCTACCTGAAATCTTCAAATTCAGGTTTGCGTCTAAATTTAGCCTTAGCTAATTTGCAGTCTCTGTCCCTGGATAAGCTTTTAAGAGAAGTTACCGGTAAGCTTCTACATTCTAATCTAATCTTATAATTGACAGGTTTGGTTGGTTGATTTCTTTACTTTTTGACCTTCAAGACTGGGGAGAAATGACTAGACAACAGGCATTTAACAAATTCACATCATTTTTAACAAGCGTCTTTAAAATTGATATTTGTCTCATTTATCTAAAGTTTTGTTAAAGGCTAGCACTCTTTATAGTCTCTCACTGATACGATCTACACTGTTGATGACGGATAACAAATGTGCCTCACAGGAGCAGAAAAGGCTTTTGCAAAGATTAAAAGCTCCTGTAAGCTTCCTTTATTCTTCACATTGATCAGGACCTGAGACATCTTTTAAAGCAGGGAACTGGCATTGTTTTAAGAATGGAGGAGAGAGAAACTATTGTTTGTGGTGCTTTCAAATGTTTATTTTGCTCTTTGTCTGTAGCACCACGTACAATACATTGTATTTTACAAATGCTGTTCAGTTTGCTGACAGAAGAGTTTTGCCACAATCTAATTATTTTCTTCCTCTTCAGTGTTTTTCAGCAGTTTTAAAGGAGACGCCTCAGATGTGTGAAATTGCACCATGGGGAAGAGATATTATTGTGACTACTGTGATCGATCCTTCCAGGATAACATGCATAACAGGAAGAAACATCTGAATGGCGTTCAGCATCACAGAGCAAAAAAAGCCTGGTTTGACCAATTTAGAGGTGAGACTTACAGATCTTGTATATGACGGCACAACCAATTGCTGCACTGTTTGTAATGATGTCATTTTTAATGCGAAAATATCAAATCTGATCAGCAAAGACTGGCAAAAGTGCTGTATAAATAAATCATAAAACAATTAAAACAAAGGCAGGAGTAGCCTTAAACCCCCCAAAACAGAAAAAGAGACCAGTATGAAAGGAAGTGAAAAGGCAAAAGTATGTAAAAGCCATAAGACTAAATAATACCAAGAAAATAAATTGATTTCAAACGTGGAACATTTAAAAGGAGTTGTTCAGAAGATCTAAGACATTTAGATGTTATATCTATTTAAGACAATTTAGGTAAAAGCAGATGAGTTCAAATAAATATTCAGGAGCCTAAATAGTTTTTAAATCAATTCTGTATTTAACAGAAAGACAGTGGAGAGACACTAACACAAATATCAGTTCTTTTCCTGGTACCAGTTACGAGTTTGGCAGCAGAATTCTGCAGACGGGACAACAGAGCCTGACTGATACTAAAATCTTCTTTTGGCTTTTCTCTCTTCAGGGGTTACCACAGCAAGTCGTCCTCCTCCATCTAATACTAAAATAGAGTTTTACAATAATCCAACCTGGACTAATATTTGCTGAAACAACTGTCTTCATATTATTATTATTAGCGAGCATTAATATGAACTTGGAGAAGTTTCTGAGTTGCAGAAAACAACTCTACCACAGAGTTAATGTTTTTATTAGATTTTCACTGACTGTCAGAAAAGGCCTGAAGAGCTAATTACTGGTACAAGGAAGCTGGGTGTACAGAAGGGTTTGGGTTGGTATCTTTTAACTGGAATCAGTTAGAAAGCTTCTATTGTTTCACCTCTTTAATACAGTTCAGAACTCACGTAACAGATGTGGAGTCATTTGGATTCAAATCTGTGTATGTGTGCACTTTGTATTTTTTTGTGTGATCCTGCAGACGATGAGCAAATCTTAAGCATTTTTGCGAACTTGTGATTGTCTTCACTAATGTTTTACTTATAACGAAATTCAGTAACCATCTAAAACACTTTCTTTTAATTACAGATGCTACAGCTATTCTCTTGGATGAGCAAAGAAAGAAACCCTGCAAGTTTATCCAGCAAGGTAACATAACAGTTGTACAAAACCTTTTTATTTATGATCCAAGATACTCAATTTCTAACCTTTTTCCCTCATGTTTTTATTTTTTTTCCTTTAGGAATTTGTGGTTTTGGTTCAAACTGCAAATTTTCTCACATGTCTGAAGAGGAGCAATACAAGTTCAGGAGACAGTTGGAAGGTACGCTGTTACCAGAAGATGGCGCTATTACCATGTTATTGGATTTACATGTTTCTCATTCAAATGTGGAGTAATCTGGGTTCTTTTATATACAGGTCTTTTAAGAACATTATTTTTGTTGTAATATTGTCAACATCAAACTCAAAATTTCTCACATGTTTTGTGTGTACGTTGAGAAACTTATTTCAGTTTTTTTGTTAGAGGAAAGATGGCAGAAAGAGGACTGTGAGGACCGAATGGTGTTTGGGCGAAGAGTAGACGAATGGCTCTCAAAAAGGGAGAAGAGGCGAGCTGCCCTCAGTAGCAAAGGGTACTCGCATTCCTTTTTTGTTTTAATCTCGTGCCAACATGGTTAGCATGCCTAATAAGTGTTCCTGTTCATTTAGAATCCCAACTGTTCATTTATTTATTTCTGCAGAGATCTCTCTACTAAAGAAGACACAGAAGAGGCTGAGGCAGAACAAGAGATACCTCAGCAACTCCTCTCCATCCCTGACCTCCCACCCTCTCTTTTACCGCCTCCTCCGGGTGGATGGAGAGTCAACATTAGCAGTGAATGGGGTTGAGAGACATTTATTCTTATTAAACCCTTTGAAGTGGATCATTTGTTTGGCGTTAAAGGAGGAGGAACAGCTGTTATAAAGAGATGCTCTCACATTTATATTTGTCTGTTTTTCAGCTGCTGTGAAAAACAAACAAAAAAGGTAATTTTCTTTTTGAATAAGAAACTTTTTTTTTTGTTAGCATCCACATCAAAACATTGTGGAATGGACGTTTGGACAAAAGCTTATTAAAAATAATAATAATTTGGTTTTAGAAGTGACAGTACAGACGTTACAAGCTAACTCTCATCAGGGTGAGAACGGGCTGGTGAATTCAATCAGCTGTTGTTTGTCCTTGAAGTGAGACTCGTCTCGGGGCTTTTTAAAGGTTAAGTGTCACATTGTTCCTGAAGGAATGGGTTATGAGCAGATGGAAATAAATTTTTCTTTTCTCACGGAGGGTTTCCCTGACCTCATGATCTCATATTTCTGAGTGGACCACTGGAAACAACATTTTTCATTTTTTTAAATAGTGAGCCCATGCTCAGGATTGATTAAAATTATTTTTTCAACCAAACTGTTAATGCCAGTGATTGTTGGCATCAAATATTATGACAACCCATTAAATTGTCATTCCTGTTAGCTGAAGGTATTCTGAAACCTACGTACCCGAGTTCAACTCAGAGGAGCCAAAACTTTTCTGTTTCTTCAGATTAAATTTGAGAATAAGCCGAATATTTTAAACGCCCTTTCCAGGGTGAGCACCGCTTTTAGCCCACTGGAGCACCTTCTCCCCACAACCCAGTATTCTGGACCACTTTCAGTCAGGGTTTCGTAAATCCCACTCAACTGAAACAGCTCCTCTTAGAGTCTCAAATGATATTTTGATGCAACGTGACGCAGATAAATGTTCTGTGCTGCTTATGTTCGACCCGACGTCGGCTTTTGACGCTGTTGATCATCTGACCTTGTTGGATAAGCTGAGGATTTTGGGCTGGTATTTCAGGTTCTGCTTTGAAATGGTTATCCTGTTACCTGTCCGATAGATCAACCTTCTTGGCTACATTAACGTACAGATCCCATTCCTGCCCTGTTCATTTTGGTGTTCCACAGGGCTCTGTTTTGGGACCATTGCTGTTTCTGCTCTATCTGCTCCCTCTTGGTCAAATACTTTCATCTTTTAAGGATATCTCCTATCATTGTTATGCTGATGACATCTAGTTGTATATTTCTTATCTTCCAAATTAAGTTTCAGAACTACACATTTTATCTGTTTGATTCATTTAAAAGCTGGATGACTGAAAGTTTTCTCCAGTTAAATAGAGAGAAAACTGAAGTAGTCATCTTTGCTCCAGAAAAAAACTACTGTAATAATAAAGCAGATCCTTATGGTCATTTTGCTAAATCCTCAGATAGAAACCTTGGGATAACCTTTGACTCAGGTTTTACTCTGAAAACTTATGCAAAGTCTCAGGTTCGTTCCTGTTTCTACCATCTGCGAAAAATTGCCAAGCTTAGCCATACTGTTTCTCATCCAGAATTGGAAATGTTAATTCATGCTTTTGTTTAGTTTCGCCTGGATTGTTGTAATGCACTGTGCACGTGTTTAACCAAAACCTCTCTAGACTGGTTGCAGTCTGTACAGAACGCTGCTGCTAGACTCTTGACTGGATCTTCAAAATTTTGTCATACAACTCCACTTCTATAGCAACTCCATTGGCTCCTAGTTCATTATCAAGTGGATTTCAAGGTTTTGGTTTTGACTTGGCAAACTCTGCATGGACAGACACTAATATACATCTCGGAGCTTTTACATCCCTACACCCCGATCAGGACTTTAAGGTCCTGTGATCAAGACCTACTGATGGTCCCCCAGACAAAACTGAAAACTAAAGGAGACAGAACCTTTTCTTCTGTGGCTCCAAGACCGGAACTCCCTTCTTTAAATCCAATAATTCTCAGTCGGGTCATCTGGACAGTTTCTTTTTTATAGAGACGTTTCGCTCTTTTTTATAGAGACGTTTCGCCCTCTATTCAGAGGGCTTCATCAGTCAGAGTTCCAGTAAACTGTTTCCCTACCAAGCAGTAAACTCCTTAAGTGGGCCAACCAGTTTGCTGGAGCGAAGATGGTTTCTGGGGGCCGTCTTTTCCCTCGTCGACTCCAACCACAGCCAAAGTGGTTCAAGGCAACAAAGTTCATGCTCAATCATCCAGGTACCAAATCAAACCAGAAACAGTTTACTGGAACTCCTCTGACTGATGAAGCCCTCTGGATAGAGGGTGAAACGTCTCTATAAAAAAGAAACTGTTCAGATGACCCGACTGAGAATTATTGGATTTGGTACCTGGATGATTGAGCATGAACTTTGTTGTTCCCTTCCTCAAACGTTCAGATCATCGGACTCTGGCGTCTTTTAAAGGCCAGCTAAAAACTCACCTTTTTAAATCTGCCTTTGCTTAAATTTGTTTTGTGCACTTTTTTATTTTTATTTTGTTTGTCGAAGCACTTTGTGATTTTTATCTTGAGAAGCGCTATATAAATAAAGTTTTGCTTGCTTACTTACTAACCCTGAACGGAAAAGGGATATTTTTTGAACTTGGAAGCATCCTGTGAAAAAATATCCAGTACCTTATTTAAAGCTTTTCAAGTGGCTTGTGGAGAAATATGACATTTCTATCCAGCAGGACTAATGAGCTAACAGCTTGTCCCAAATCCAGCCACATCATAAGAGCAGCTCCACAAGGAGTTGTTTGAAGGCAGTAAAATCTGTTGTGAAGGTGGGCCTTCTTGGACTGCATTGTTACTTTTCCTTCACGAAACATCTTTGAGTTTCAGAATCTCACAGCGGTTCATGAAAAAAATTATTTCGATTTTTATCTGTCAGCTTTGCAGTCCATGAATATTTCAGCAGAAACATTTTGATGTGCCAAAAGTGCTGCAGCTCATTGTATGGGCTTGCAAATAACCACAGAATCCCATTTCAGTAAGAAAATCCTCTTTGCTCACCTGAATCTGATGGTCTGACCACATAATTTCATCAGGTTATGTTCTTATTTTCAGTGAAGGGTGGGAAGAGCCTCTGTGTGCCTAGATAAATGTCCTGCAAATGTGCTGTGTTTTGTAAAAAGTGTAAGGCGCTTGTTGTTGGGCTGCTGGAGTGGGTGAATTTGAGCTTGTTTTGCATTTATTTCAAGTCTGATGAGAAGCAGCAAATCATTCCTTGAGGTCCACGGAAGTCTTTGTTTATGCCGTAGCGTTCCTCCAACAACTTGTGTTTGACACGTCCCTGTTCTTTAAATAAAACTGAGCGCCCACTCACCTCCGACTGTGATGCCGCTGACTGAACCCACCTTTTTTCTCTCTGAGATTCACTAAATGACACTAAACCTTCAGCTTTAATACAGACAGCTGCTGCTCACATATGTGGAATTATTATTTTTCCAACAAATATGAAAAGAAATAGGATTTATTTCATTTTTTTGCGTTTTTTAAGAATGCTAGTGAGAAAGCTGACATTTTTGCTCAAGTCTGTTATTTCACTGGAACATTACAGCATTTTTTATTTATTTATTAACGTTTTATATAATCTAAATGATCAAAGTCTGGCTTTTTTGTTAAATAGTGCCGCATCTCATAGATGCTTAATGCAAAATAAAGACCCGAACAATCACCAAAATGTCCAAGACAAGCCGTGAGAAACTTGGCTGATGGGAATAAATATTTCAGATTCTGACTTTTGTCTGAATGTTTGAAATTAAGATTTAAAATTAAAATTTCTACCCTAATCTAGAACCTTATACAAATACATGTATTTTTGTCTTTTCACGCTCTTTCTACTCAACAGTAGAAAGTTGGTTCTCTTATTCCATTTACTCCTCCACCTTTTATGTTAATAGCCATACTGATATCAAAGCTCATGTGCATATATAGATATATTTATGCCTTTTAAACTATTTTAGAATTCTGTTTTTCTTTGTTACTATTTTTTTAATCTCTTTGAATTTTAATTATGTCACCCCAAGGCTTCTATACTCTCTTATTGCACGTGTACAATGACATATAAATAATCTTTTTAATTGTTAAAGTACATACATTTAGTCAAAAATGATGCATTTTTAGGTTTTCACAGTCATTTATTTGTCAGAACAGAGCGTTTTATTGCACTTGTTTTTATTGGACATGCATCTTGACACCACTTACATTAGTGTTTAACTAATGCAGTGACCTTTACCGTAAAGTGAACGCAAACCCAAATAGTGCAGATCTTTGAATAGACATTAAAACCACTGGTATAGTCTCACAGTTGGATGGCACATTTACTATGTGGAGGAGTCGGAATGTCCTTTAAGACCAGTTGGGTGAGAGGGATGGTTGCATATCAGTCATCCCAGTTTCATTATTAGCTTTGATTCAAATTGATTCATAAAAGATTTGAGTTTCTGGTCTTTTTAAACCTGTCAAATAACAAAGGCACAAAAACAAGAGATCCACATTCCAAATAAAATTTAAAACATTTAAGACAATCTGACAACAAAGTTGTACATTATTCAATTAAAACATCTTAACTAGGGATGCACGATATTATCGGCATGGTATCGGTATCGGCGATATTAGCGATAAAACAAAATATCGGATATTCCATCAAAATAATTCTCTGATA